GCTAGTATGTTACAGATCCCAACAATGTAACAAGTTCAAAGGTACAATGTGCTAAGCGCGGCATTTCTTAGCTACCAATTAGAGTTCACCTTACATTGAGTGCAATCTAAAGTGACTTTTGGTTCATTGCTAGAAGTTAAAGTGACACTAAACTCAGGAGTTAAATCTTAAAAATACATTCAAGTAATTTAAAGTGACATTAAAGGATATTTTTTTCCCTCCCCCCAATGTTAGTGTAAGGACTTTACCTTAAATTATGTCTTTTAATCCAATCATCTTCTTCCTTACTGTCATTTTCAGATGTCCCTCCAGCACTGGTGCTGGTCTCCGATCCAGCACTGACTCCTCTGTCCTCCTCTTCTCTCATGTCCCACGATGTCTGTGCGGGGGCACGCTGCTCCATAGACTTACCTTGTGTCTCTCCTCGTCTCCCGGCCGAACATCTAAACTGCGCATGCGCTCGCCCCGAGATCCTTTGCGGCTGCCCGAGAGTCTTCAGATGTTCGGATGGGAGCGTGTGGCGAAGACACAGGTAAGTTTAAACCTGTTTCAAAAGGTTTTTTTTTTGTTTTTGCATATATCTACTGCTTGCTAGCCATATATATATGCAAAAAAGAATTAGGGTTTAATAACACTTTAACTACTAACAATAATGTCTCTTATTTGTGTATCACTCGGCTGTAGACCCTCCAATCATCTCTGAATTGGTGCTGAAACTGTCCTTCCTTCTGAAGGGGGGGCTACTTTTGTTCCCCATAGTCCCTGTGTGTGTTGTAATATAGTCACCGCTCCAAGCTCACTCCCGGGATGGACTACAATCTCACGTTTAATTTACTAATTTGTATTGAGATTGTAGTCCATCACAGGAGTGAGCCTGCTGCGCCATGCTGGTCGGTCACCTATACAGTCATGATTGCAGAGTGCATACAAAGCAATATCAGATGGCTAATAGTTGCGCTGCAAGCACAAATGGCAAATGGAATGTTTAATCAGAGGAAGACGGCTTCAAAATATGTGAACGATCCGTGCACCCATTACTGTCAGGCCAGCCGCAGAAAACCCATTTCATAACAATTCCTCATGCTGCATAACAGTCATCACATAATGGAGCATAATACAGCTGGGATTATATGCAGCTAAACTCATTACAATACACACTCCAGGATTTTATACTCTGCTTTTCATTTCACAGACCTCAGTAGGTGCGCTTACTGGCAGTGCTGGATGTTCACTATTTTCTCTTTAAGAGGTGCTCTTAAAATTTGGCATTAAAAGCAGATCCCGGGGTAATCACTTGAGTAATAAAATACAGTCATTGGGCAAATCACTAATGGTGCATTCAGTAGAAGATTCTGGATGCAATTTTTTTTAATGGTGAATTTAAATTTTACTTTCACATAGCTCACCTGAGGATAAGGCTCCATTCCTGTCCAACGTGAACATACTTTTATTGACCCCCCAACTGCCTGCCTACGCTCATCCCGCTCCTATTATATCAGAGAGCAGGGAGTGGAAATTAAAGCTAAACTTCATGCAGATTTTTTTTTAAAACAACAACATGTAAGTTGATGTCAGATGGGCGACTGTTTCGGTATAGACAAATCACCAGCGGCAGGGTTGGTAACAGGTTGCCTATCTGTCCCAATGGCATCAGTTGGAGATGTTTCTAAGATCATTCAGAATGAAGTGGCAGGTCACTGGACCTCCATTTGACCTCCTACTGACCTGCATTTTACCTGCTTCAAGTGGGCTTTGCTTTCCCATAGGCTTGTATGGGGATACAAAACTAGATTGAAGCAGACAAAGGCCTTACTGCTACTTTTCACAAGTCCTGCTGACTTGGCTAACGTTCAAACAGTGGGTGGGCACAATAGGACCCCCCTGTTCCAAAAAAGTCGCCTTTTCATGAAGGAAGATCTCATTTGAAAAATCCCATTCACTGCAGTCACTGTTTGGGTATTCCGACAGCAGCAAACCTGCCACTTTCAGAATATAATTGCCCTGCATGGATAGGAGAATCAAGTGTTTCTTCTCCTTCAGTCTACGGGGATGAATGAGAAAAAACTATCGCTGTGTGGTCAGCCCTGCCAGTAAGTCAGACACCTGGTCCTCGCTGGGTGCTGTAATACCTTCCTATGGCTACCAGCTACTGCACAACACAGTAGAGATGTAGCGGCTGGCGGGAAGAACTACAGTGACCAGCACACTTAGAAATGCAGGATAGCAGTGGTGCCCGGAGTTCTGGAACCGAGCACAGAATTCTCTGGCTGCCCACTGGAAAGGTAAGTATAGAACTTATTCTTTTACAGCCTGCTGGTTTTTTTTCTGTGGTGACAGGGTCACTTTAAAGGAAACCTTTCCTTAGAGAGACATGGAGGCTGCCATTGCTAGTTCTACTGTAATAAATACATACATATAATCTTATGGGCAGATTGCTGTTGAAATAAATGGTCTGGCGACAGGTTTGCAATCACAGCAAAAAATGTGCCTCCTACAAAAAATACACTATACTCAGGGCCGGTGCCAGACTATTTTGCGCTCTAGGCAAGACCAGCACCCCCTGCAGTGGCCGTGGCTGTGCCTAGGCAGCATTGCGCCCTAGGCGGCTGCCTAGTTTGCCTAGTGGTAGCACCGGCCCTGACTATACTCCTCATCCTTTAAACAGCATTTGGCATTTTGACAAATGAAGCTAGCAACTCTTTGGTTATTTCTATAGTGAGCAATGTGCCATCCTCCATTTTGGGGCTCATGGGCACCTGTATTTTAGATTTTATGATCCCAACATTTTGATTTTCGGTTGTGACACAGAACAGTAATTCAGATTTAATTCTCTTCCCGGAATGGCGAACTGATAAGAGCCTGCGACCTACATAATATGCCATTCCTCTTCATTCTACGGTAAGGAATTTGTGGTAGATGACACAGGTAGCCAGCCTAGCTGTTAATCAGGCTTCAGCCCGCGATACAGTCCGGAGAGCCCAGGTCCCCGTCCTCTCTTCCCAGTAGTCTTATAAGTCCAGAGATGGAAGCTAAGCATGCAGCCGATTGCTCTTAGAGAATGGTGCCATGCAGATACCGGGAAAGGGCTTAGCTTAGGGTAGCATGCAGTAATATCATATGCAGAGGAGAAAGTGACAGAATGTAACTGTCACCGTGTCCTAAACCCAAGAGCCACGCAATGTGCAAAATATGAAACCAAGGGATCGTCTGTGAAGAGGACATGAGTACCCTGCAGTAGGGATAAAAACTAACGCATAAACCAGACAAACAACTCAGCGTTATGTGGCAGCATAACATCTGTTCCATAATAAGGGACCTCTGGCTCAGGGAAACATATTTATCCATATGAACAGAAAACAAAGGTGTCTGCTAAAGCCATAGGACTAAAAGGTTTTGTACAGCTTACATATTTAGATCTCAGATTTTTTTTTGCACAAAAGCAGTTATTTCATCATTGGTATGTTTTCTAAAATACAATAATTAATAACAGAAAATTAAATGCAAAAACAAATTAATGTAAGCTGGCTCAATGGGGTGCAATTATGAAAAACTGTCTTCTTGTTCGAGGTTGTTAATCTGCCATTTCCTTTATTTCAAATGCAGTTTAGAGACAGGGGGCTTTTGGGGGTGCTGTTTTCCTGGGCATCAGGTAAGAGGCCGACAAATGAAAGGAGTTCTTTATATTAGGTACAGTATTAAAACAATGTCTGCCCTGTATCCAACTGCTACATAAGTCTGTTTATTTCTGTCTTTGGCGTCATTGTAGAAACCTATCCTCACTTACTGACCTGCTGAATGGTAAAACTGGCGCAGGAAGTGAGGAGAAATCTCCCAGATGGAGACAGAGACAGCGATAAAAGCCTTCCCTGCTTTTTCCCTGATTTGTCTTAAAATCCTCTTTAATTAGTCAATAGGGCATTCAAATACAAAAAGGTTTAAAAACATACCCTGATTAATTAAATGAACTAGCAAATCAAAAACACACAAATTCTATCTGATAAAATATTAAGCAACAATGATCCATCAAAAACTTACACCATTTTATGGGGGAAAAGGGCCAGTCCACCCAATGTGATATTTCAGTTGGTAATGGAATATAGTGGGCTCTCTGGCCCTCTGTGAACTCCCCTGGTGAAGTCTCCCTGTCATAGCTATGGCGCTGTTCCCTCCTACTAGCTATTGGCACCCACCTTGGAGTCTTCCCACTCACCATGTTGCCTTTTCCACAATATAAAATACATTAATATGCCAACAGGGTGAGTGGGAGTAATTCATTATGGATGCTTCAGGCCTAAGAACTCAAGCATAGAGATCTTGATACACCCCTGAGAGTCGAAAGAAACCATTACAGGGTTTAACTCTCGATGGAAAATTTAAATATGAGTTTTGTTTGGACTGACCCTTTAAATGCATACCAGTGTTTCATAAAGGTGGCTATGCCTGACTAGACTGACTAAAAATATAGTACCTGCCACTGCTGAATTGTTTTTAAAAGTGCAAGTTCAAGTCTGTCATAGCAATCCTTAAATACTCAGAGAGCAAGTATGAAGCCAGTGAAGTTGGAACACCTGACCCACATAATTGTCCCTGGTCAGTCCCTGGTGGATGACAGTCTCTGAACCTGCTTCAATGGCAATGACATCTCTAATATTCCATTTTGATTTGGTATCTTGTAATCAGAGGGTTTCCCAGTTACATGCTGTGTTGTGATAATAAAACAGCAATAAAACTAATTGGGAAAGAAACCCATCCCTACCCCTGATAGGAAACATTTTGACTTTGTGGACTTCTGTGGTTACCTGGTTGAGGACCACCACAATCAGATTCTTACTTTCATGCAGTTGGAAAGGATTGCTGATATCAGCATAGTTTAAAGGTTTGCTACTTAATATATCCTGTATGTACTTTCACAGCAACAAGAACTCTGAAACAATGAATTCATTAGAGTTTAGAACATCATTTGATCATATCTGTACACTGACACATTCAAGTAACCTTACCTCGTACTTCCACCTTGGCTTCACATTGCTTAGTCCCATACTCATTTATTGCTTTACAGGTATACAATCCGGCGTCTCGCTTGTCAGACCCGGAGATGTGGAGTGCAAAGATCTCGCCTTCCTCCCCGGTCATGTGACATTTGACGCCTGGTTTCAGCTGCTGCTTATTCTTTAACCTAAAAGGATAGAGCGACCAAGGTACTAAAAATGCTGTTACCAGAGGAGAGCAAAAAAAAACCCAAGAGTTTCAGTTTCATTTGAAAAAATTAATATATTGTTTATAAGGAACATATAGTCTTTTTCAACATTCTTTAAGCGTGTAGTCATACTGGGTGTGTTAACCAGGCATTGGCATGATCTACCATCTTATTGCAGTTCATTTGCGTAGTGTGGGCATTCCGCACCGTACGACAACTTGGAAGAGGTGGTCTGGGCCACAGTTGGAGTTTGGTATGGTTTGCTTCAGTTTAATTGCAAACCATACCAAAGTCCTGAAATCTCAATCATGGATCAACTATGGGGAACGGAAGGAGGGATCACTTTGCCTGGCTGGCAGAGGAAATTATGTAAGCAGATCTGGGAACACTTCCTTATAGCACAGTATGAATGCAGACCGGAGGGGAGTGGGGTAAGGAGGACAATCGTACTTGGGCACGGTTTGGTTCAAATGTATAAGAACACCCAGAGATAAATATGTTAAAGAAACTCTAAAGGGGCAAAGTTACAGGTTCCCTTGTAAGAAGAAACCCCCCACTAACTGATAACTGATACCCACCCTTACTGCGTCCCGTCCTCTGCTCCATTTCTCTGCCAGAGTCCAAAGTCCTATCCCTGTCTTCCTACTCATGTGTTTGGCCAAGGAGATTGGCCACACATCCAGGCCTACAGATTGCATCCTAGGAGGGTGTTATATGCCGCCTATAAACTGATGAACTGGGTATTTACTGAGGCCTCCAAGTAGAGCTGCAACAGTTAATCGATTTAGTCGATTAAAATCGACGATTGAAAACGTTGGCAACGTTTTCGATCGGCGATTCGTCGGCTATCGATTGATTTGCCTGTTCGGGGCTGTTCCGGGCTCCACATGCGGCCTGAGCCACACGTCACACGCTGCTCCCGCTGCGGCCGACGTGCCCACGGCACAGGCCGCGTAAGCCACGCCCACCGCACAATTTTTTTACTTCCACCGCGCCAAGCTTGCTCCCGTGATGGACTACAATCTTAACACAAACTAGTCGTCAATCACTGGAGCCTTTTTTTTTTTATCCGATTAACCGATTAATCGAACTTAATAATCGGCCAACTAATCGATTATGAAAATAATCGTTAGCTGCAGCCCTACCTCCAAGCAACAGAGAATATTGCCAAGTAATATTTTAAAGAAAACTGTAGATGTTTTTATGTATAATGCTACAGAAGATTTCAGAGACTGCTGACATACTGCTGATGATGGTCAGATACCGGCTACAAGCTACAGCTGTAGTTGGTGACTGGACATATGTTGCAAGAGACCATTAGAAACTGGGATAGGTTACATCAAATTGCTAGACATCACTTCACTTGCAGCCCCTTAACAAACAAATGCTCCCACTATTGACTGCTTAAGACCGAGATCCACAAAACAAGTACCAAGGCCCCACATGCAGTCTGTGGGCTGCAAGTTGGGCAACAGAGCATTAAATGTTCCGTTCTATACAAGACAGAAATGTTACCTACAGCTCAATGCCACATCCTGCCTACAGTGAGCTACGAGGCAGATAGAATGCTTGCATGCTTCTGTGTAGATATCACTCACCAGCTTATCATAGGTTTGGGTTCCCCCTCTACATGTACTCGCAGAATGACTTCCTGGCCCTCAAACACCATCTGGTCTGACATCGCCACCTAAAAATAAAGATAATGAGATTAGGGAATAGAAAGGAAAACCTACCAAATGATCTGTCATTAGACCATGAATATCCTTCTAAGCCTGGGTGGGCAGAGACGTCAGGTATATGGGTATCCTTTAGAAAAGTAGTTCACAAGTTAGAACAAAGATACGTTTTGGAATAATGAACAAGTCTTGAGATTGTAGTGCACCTTTCTGTTTATCTCTGTACATTTAAAGAGTTCATTCACTTGTATTACATTCGGTGGCAGGAGCCATACATGATGACATCATGATGACCTCTATGAATAAGCCTACGGGTGAAACATGTGAGAGGTTGTAGGTGGTTGGGGGGCGGGGGGGGCGGGGGGGGGGCAGTGCTGGTATTTGTTGCATTATACACTTTTATTCTCTGTTATACTGGATTTGCTGAGAATTTCAATAAAGTCCGAAGTACATTCCAAGGTGGAGATGCACCTATTAGACCAGCACCTGAGGAGTCCTGACGGCAGCTAAGGAATTGGAGCGGTGAGATTTCCTTTGGCTCTACATTTGTAACTCATATCACTCTGTGTAAGCACATGTGATCACTGAAAAGAACAGGGAAGGATCTACGGGAAGAAGGTAGGCCCTGCATGAGTTTAGCTAAGCCCTTCTGCATTCCACAATTACAAGTGATTCTTGCCAGCTAACTGTGCAGAACAGAATTCCCATCTAGAGGGATTTCCAATCCCTTGGTTGTTGTATTCGGCCCTGCTGTGCAGACATCCTGCTGTACAGACTGCACACAGCTGAATGTAAACAAACCATTATTTATACTGGCTAGGGACAGTGATGGCAACTCACATGCCAAATGTGTATTCTGTATATGGATACAGAATATTTAAAGAGCCTATGTGTTTAAAAAGGTGCATATTTCCTTAGAAAATGTGTCCATGTGTCTTATTTGCAGACGTGCTGTGGTGCCATTAGTTCCCAATAGCACCCCAAACTTGTCTGCCAGCGCATGTGCATTGTACCATGCCAAAATGAATGGTACAAAAGTTTAAGAAACAAGGTGCATGCACTTCTTTGGTGTGATTGGGAGATCATTGAAATGAATAAGCTTTCCAAGGCACCACACCTTAACATGTCTAAAAAACACATTCATCAATGGCTGGATGTAGGCATCACGGGACCTGAAAGAAACAGCAGCAGAAATAGCTTCAGCTGAAGCAGCAACAGGTTCCTGGACCTATCATCCCCAGGGGCAGGAGGAGAGCTAGACTGTTACATATGCTTATGTTACTGGTAAGTAAACCAGTTCAACTAGCTGGTGTAAAATCTGACTTAATCTATTCCAGCTCTGATGAAGGGGGAACCCTGTAGCCATCGAAATTAGTTGTTTTTACTGATCCTAAATACAAATATTTCCTGGATACATATCAGTGGAGAGGTGCTTTTACCACCCACTCTTCTTTCTGCCTATCTCTGGAGGAGGGCAAAGAAGGAGGAAAGTGTGCCACATTGTGGCAAGCGCCCACCCATCCCATTGTGAACTTTATTTCTGATTAAAGTATAACCCCCTCCCTGCTGTTTCCTACCTTAATAGACTCTGCAGTCAAGTAAAATAAAAAGTAAGTAAGTGTACACAGCATAGGAATCTAAATCTATAATACCTACCATTACCACCTCTGTTGAAGTCAGTCTTCACACTTTTGCATAGACCAGTAGACTCTTCAGCATCTGTCATTTCCGGGTGTGTCAGATGCTGGTGTCTCCCCAACCGTGTGCTGCGGCTCCCCACCCTCTCCAGCTACTACCTCACTATGTGTCCCTTCAGAACTTCAAGGATATACCAGTGACGAAGTGACTGCAGGGAAAGCCGCAGCTATCAGTGGGAAGAGGCGGGTATCTGGCTCACCTGGAAGTGTTGGATGCTACTGCAAGAAAGCGGTTATCGGCTACAACAGAGGCCATAATGGTATGTATTATAAATGTACTTCCCTGTGCTGTGTTTGTGTACTTTTTTTTTTTTAAGTTAATGACAGTGTCTATTTTAAAGTGACATTAAAGTCAAAAAAATTTTCCCCTCCCCCCAATGTTAATGTTAGCACTTACCTTAAATGATGTATCTTAATCCAATCTTCCTCTTCTTTCATGATGTTTTCATCTGTCCCTCCAGCGGTGCGGTGGCCCTCCGATCCAGCGCTGACTCCTCTGTCACTGCTGGCACTTCCGATCCCGCGGTATCTGCATGCGGGTGCACGCGTCCATAGACTTACGTTGCGTCTCTGCTCGTCTCCCAGCCGAAAATCCGAACTGCGCATGCGCCCGCCCCAGGATGCTTTGTGGCCGCCCGAGCAGTTTTGGATTCTCGGGGGGG